GATGTTCTTTGATAATGCATCTCACCTGTGTGCTTCAATCTTTTGATCTTAATCTTTTCCTGATTTTGAATTCAATTAGACTTGACAAATGTTAGCCTATTAGAGTATGACGTTTTTTTACTGATCAAGTATTATGGGATTGACTTCTATAAAATGAAACTAGACGATAATTTTAATTATTTCCTACTTTAACCCCTGGGTGCCCCCTTCTTTTGGGGGCCACCTTCAAGTGATGTCTTACACCTTACAAGTCTTGCCTATGTCATTATTCTTACTCAAATATATATTTTTTGCAGGAATTGCCTGATGTCCCCTTGTTTCTAAGTTTGCACAATCTCTGTGCAACACTAAAATGCACCTCCCCATCAGCAGTTATATTCCGCTCTGCTGTCATCAATGCAGGATATCGTATATCGGGCACTCATGTGAATCCCTTGGGGCTAAAATCAGATGCTCCGATGGATGTCGTTTGGGACATAATGCGGTGCTGGGTAAGGACTGCCATTCTTGTGTATGTTAATTCACTAGAGCTTGTTTTCTCCTTCAGCAATAATTCCAGATGTTTTCAAGAATCGGTTAACAAACTTTGGAATGCTGCATTTTCATGAACAATGATGACGAATTCTATGCATAGGTCAAAAATCATCCTGTTAAAGCTCAACCACCAGATCAGGCAGGAAGCGTGATCCTTGCCAAGGAACCCGTTCTCCAAGTGAGTCTCACCTCTCAACCCTTTTAACTTATACATGGTTTTGTTTGGGTGTACAATTTCTTTTAAGCACATGGTTCTTTCCTCTATATGTAAATAATTTAATGACCCAAAGCATAGGTTATGTGGGGTTTAAATACTCTGGCTAACCTAGCGCAATGGATTTAAGAATTGGATTCAACAGGTTCTACAAGCTCAAGAATTACCAATCAAAGCACAATTTGCAGCACTGCATGATTGGGATCGTACTTAGATAAATTAGATACTGTAATACACTTTCATCCTGTATTTCCTTTAATAGCGAAAAGACAAAAACATATATAGAGATTTTCGGAGTAAAAATAGAAAATAGTTATTTATTAACTGGTGAAAACAAGAACACTATCAAAACTCTTAAATCATCAATTATGTGACAGTTTTAAAACTTTTAATGTATGCTGGAAAGTGCAACAGTTGGATTTCAGGTAAAAGTTAAATTTGTACCCGGATTCCTTCTCTTGGCAGGCTAATTTTGCTCGAGCTGTTGCATCTCTTAGCAAGGCACAAGCCAAGAAGGTTGCACGCTTCCTTCCTAATCCCGAGAGGCACTGGGGTCCAAAGCTTAGGGCGGGGCGTCAGATCACCAGCAAGCACGTATCCCTTCTGGGTCCGCAGGCATTAAATGTAATTAGTAACCATGAAGAAGATGGCGAGCCCCAAGCTAAGCGTAAGAAGACAGAAGATCCCACTTCCAATTCATGAAAAATAAAGCATGCGCCTTTTCAAAATGCTAATGTATGTAGGCCCCAGCTGGCTGAGAGCTTGTTTGACACCGTTATAACATGTTTCCTGTTCTGCATTTCCTTGCAGAGAGAGAAACCATCTTGAATTGAGCTCTGCTACCCAGATGAGTTACAACTAAAAATGCCATTGTGAGATAGAAGAATATATAAACGATTGTATGTTAATTTTCAGTTTTGAAGATGCATCGTCAAATTTTGTTTATTTATAAGTGATTCTGGTGAGTCCAAGACTCCAAATTGAGTAGTAACATTTTTGTTTTGTTTTGTTTTATTTTTTTTCTGTTCAAATGAAAACAATTATGTTACCATTTTGAATTCTTATTTACTTATTGTTTATTAAAGACTGTTAACAGGTGCTCCTTTGGATTTGAATATGAAGAGAGCCTAGCTTGTTTGATCTCTGTTAGAGGATGTGGATTCTGAATAAAAAATTTCTTGTTGAATGACACTTTCTTATGAATATGCTTGTCAGGCGGTGGTGAAGATCGGTGGACATGTCTTCAAAGGGTTCTTATATGATCATTGTCAAATTGATCTTAGAATTGGATCCCAATAGTAACTGCTGCCCAAAGGTACTTTATTGAAAGCCAGTCCAGTGAAAGTACCATCGATTTCGTTGGTCGAACAAAAACCGTTTCTTGGTTCTTTCTTTTTTGCCTCTCTAGCTTGACTACTCAATTTGTTTAACACAAATTTTATTTAACTTTCATTGACCACTTCACTACCCAGCAAGCTCTGGCTCGAAAGCAAGAAGGTAACGGATTGAGTTGCGTGAAAGCTCTTGTTTGTTAGCACATCTGTTTTCTTGTAGGCCTTAAGGCTTGACTAATATAATAAGATAGAAATGGTTTTTCTTGTTTGTTTGAGATCATATAAGGTTTTCTTCAATCAACAAGGGATGGATCGGAAGTTTGATAGGACTTTAAGAGAAAGGGACTTTAGTGGTAAGAAGTAGTCACTTAAGGAACTGAATCAAGAGATGGGTTTCTAAATATTTTTCGAGTTGAATTTGGGTGGTGGTAATGGGGGTGGAGGTGGAAATGGTGGCGAGAGAAATGAGGTTTTGTCATCTTCTCTAATTCTTGACCTAATTGAGTACTGTTTTGAGGGTAGTTGGGTAAAATAACCATTTATCTTGTTGGTAGGAAAAATTGGGAAGTTAAATCTCACATGATCCTTGCGTTTACAAAATTTGATATAAATGAGATTTAGACATTCAATTACAATAGCTCGGGTTTTGGTTTCCAACGATTATCCCATTACATTTTGTAGATCTAAATCTGGGATATGTGGGTCTCTGAACAATTTAAAGCCAATTCACTTTTATCCATCAAAATCCAACCAAATACTTCTATAGGATAGTAGAAAAAAGAATAATCAAATTAGTTACCTTAAATTTATTTATATATGTAATATTGTATTTACTAGCTTGGCATCAAAGTCGTTGTAGTATAGTGGTGAGTATTCCCGCCTGTCACGCGGGTGACCCGGGTTCGATCCCCGGCAACGGCGTTTTTTTTTTTAATTTTTGCTGGCTGATTGGATTTCTTGTTTGGTAGTTAGTTTACCCCTATTCTGACAGTGGTTTGGACAACCTAAAACCGCGCATCGGTTTTTGTTATCTGAAATCCGTCCTTGACCCAGAAATTCAAAATTCACCGAGAATATAGGATGGGCCTTGCTGATTCCCGCCAAAAATATAGTTGTCATGACGCTCTTGGCCCAATGATAGATGAGTGTGGATGCTTATAAATAGTGAGTTACTTGAATTCATACAGATAATCAGAAAATCCAGAAAAGGGTGACGAAGAGAATTTCGAAGGGTGTCCCTTTTCCAAATTGAAATGACTGGGAATTCTCACCTTTCACAGTGGCTTTTGGAGGAGGTAAGTGTTGAGAACTCTACTCTTATTGTCCTACTCATTTAGTTTCATATATATATATATATATATATATATATTTTTTTTGTAATTTTTATTACTCTACGAAGATTTCAAACTTTGCACGATTTTCCTCTCTTAAGCAATGAATTGTCATCATACACTAGATGAAGCATCATATTATTAGGAGTTATAGTAAGACCATCTCCAATGAAAATTCAAACCCTTACTCAAATTTGAGTAAAAAAAATGGTAAAAAACTTGATTTGTTACAGCGGAGAAACTCAAATTTAAAAAAAGAGAAACTCAAATAGATATGTGTCTAGTATTGGAGAAGCATTTTAGACCATTTTTACATAAATTTAAATTTTGGTACAAAAAAAGGTAGGGCTGGAGATGCTCTAATGTCGGGGATAAAATTCCCTCAATTCTAAATCAACCCTCTTTGTATTAGTAGGGATCCCCTGGAATATAATGATTCTTACTTGAATCCCATATGGTCTATAACCTATAATTAAGGCTAGGCATGGATATGGAGACCGGAGACTGGTAGGACACAAAACAAATAAAGCGATATGGCAAAACTTGAAAAATTAGTATATACGGCCAAGATACGTGTATAGTAAAATGTATTTTTATATTTTTTATGATTGATAACTTGGTGAGTATAATATTTAGTAAACTTTTTAACAATAATACAAAAAATTTAGTAATTTTTATTTTCAAGAAAGTATGATCGTCTCATTATGATAAATTTATAACGTGAAGGTGACTAATTAAAGAAATTAAAACTAAGATTTAACTAGTTGATTTGATCAAAAAGCCATATCGCCCAGGCACATGGTGTAATTAACTCATTTTATATTCATTTGACATGGGATAGTATCATGGTAAATAATATTTAAGAAATACCCCAGTGTCTTCAAAGTCATGTGAATTTTTTTTTATGTGTTGCATTATATGTTTTAAAGAGGAAAAGCAAAAACTAATATTAGAAATTATCCATATTGCCCTGCGGATGCAATTTCATATAAGCATATACATTGTGAATATGTATTCGCAAAGTATCCCATTATTTTATTACTATCTCACTTGTACGGTGTATCCCAATAACGAAGTATCCGTACTTCATAAAATTGAGGTAATCTAGTATGAGATGGGATCAAATGAATGGCATCATTTGTGTCAGGGGTAGTATACCAGGCAAGAAATCTTGAGGAGTTAGTTTCTGTCACCCTGTATGACATTAAGACAATTATAAACTAGGAACTGACAATTGCCTATACTCAATTTCACAGTGCAGGTAATAGTAACAATATTTTGTGATTTTAGTTTTCCTATGTGCATAATGCATATAGCAGGATCCTGGTCCTTTTTCATGTTGTACCATGGTATGAAGCTTCAATTTTAATTGACAAAGCACTTTTTTCTTCACTCTGTCATATGTGATCATCATTATTTTTCAAACTAGCTACAGATCAGATTCTGGCTGCCTAAATTGTACACACTAGTATTTTCTGTGAAGGAATTTCTCAATTTCCATTATGCTTTCCAGTGTGCTAGAAGAACATTATTGTATATCCACGTTCCTTTGATTTGCTATATATCTTCTGTACATGCATGGGGTAGTCAGTAAGGTAAAACCCTGATGTGTAGCCCATTTGGTGCTTCAACTCTTGGAAATTTCATTAGCTTATCTCCTCCTAGTTCTTCCCACCTGCACATTCAGGAGGAGGAGTCAATTTACATGGTTTGTAATCCTTTCATTGATCATCAAGACAACTAAAATTTTCAATAACAAAATACTTGGTGTGCCCTCCTGTCCCTTTGTGGGGGGGGGGGGAGGGGTTGTTTCGTTTGGCATATGGTACCTGTATCTAGTTACAAAGTAATGAAGGAATGTAGAAATTTCTGCTACTCCCAGTTCCTTCCCTGGACATTGTCTACTGCCTCCTCCAAAAATCAAGAAGTTGTTCTGTGTCTCCAAGCTTTTATCCTGCATTTAGCAAAACTGTATTAGTATCTTCAAACAAATTTGAGCCTACTGTAATTTGGCAAAAAGCTAGACAAAATTGAATAAATCACGAACCAGCCATCTCCAGGGATTGAAGGTAAAAGGTTCAGAATATAGAATTGGGTCATAATTGATCTCCCTTGTATAAACATATATCCTCCATCCTTTGGGAATAACATATCCTAAAAAAAGTAGAGAAATGCTGAGGTTAGATGTTTTCATGTTACAGACTTTGTAGTTGAGAAGATCATGTGAAGAAGAAAGATAATGTTATTCAATGACAATAGCTTAGTCCTTGTTGGTATTATTGGAACCATTGAATACTATGAATTAACGATTTAACTTGCTCATGAAAAAACAATAATGAAAGAAAATTGACCTCCATCTATCATGAAAAAGTTTTTATAAAATATTTCATTTATTCAAGATGGAGCAAATCGGATGTTCTAGCTGGAATGGTAGGTATGCCATATGGATCATTATAGAGTAGGACCATGGGAGGAAGATGATCTCATAAACAAAATAGTATTTTAATTGTTCACACAATTTCATTCAAAAAGTTTCTAATTGAGAGGCTGTCTGGCACAGCTCCTTGAGCCCCTGAATCCTAAAAAGCAAGAGCCAATATGCCACACACTGTATTTTCTTTTCTTGAAATGAATAACCTGGACACTAAGCCACTCACCATTTAGTTCCATATCGCGAGTAGTTTTTCTCAAGACACCATTGACAATTGTAGCTAATCTTGAGGTCTCAAAAATCACCTGCATCATAAACATCATACTGAATCAAATATGCAACACTGAGTTGAAGTTCTTCATGTACTAATTAATTTTTCAAATTTCCTTACAGCACGAGTGAAGCGCATAGATTTAAAGTCGTTCCAGTTGACTGGATCTTCTGGTCTTTTCCTTTCTCTAATTGCCAAGTGCTCTTTCTACAGAATTAGATGATGAAGCTACATTAGTGGCATCAAAATATGACACTAATGGCGTTTGAAAATATTGATACTTCTCACTTACTCTGAGTTCTTCAAGGACTCTTGGATGGCCATGAAGATACCTGACAGCCATCATTGAAGAAGTCGAAACAGTCTCATACCCTGAATACAAAATAGTGATGATTTGATCCATTATTTCCTCATCAGTTAGTTTATGTCTATTTTTTTCATCATCCATAAGGAAACCAAGCATGTCATGTTGGATTTCATCAGAAGCTCTTCTCTCCTCAATAAGGTGCCTCAACATGCTGATAATGTTCTTCCTAGCCTGCAACATATTTCAATTATCAATACACCTACTTATGTGATTGTCGAGCAGAAATAGTAGTAATTATTAGGCAATTTACCTGAAACCCCCGATAATAATTTGTGCTGGGAAGGTTGATAGGCAGTGAAAGGGTCCCTAATACTAGCTTAAAAAATTCTTTCATGAATTTCTGAGATATCAATCCTGATTTTTCACCAGCAATTTGCTTAAGCGATGATAGAAATGCCATCTGTACATGATCAGATACTTTTGTAGATTAAAAGAAAGAGGATGAAATATAACATTGTAACTAGACAAAAGTTATATTTATTTGGTTTTTGATTTATATACAGACCTCTTTGGTTTTTTGTTGAATGTCAATAATGTTGTTATCCCAATTGCTTAGGTGGGATCTCATGAATTCATCAATCTTTAGCAAAAGTTGGTCTCTGATCATGGTGGGGCTTACAAGGGCAACCAATGCCCGTCTAATGTACTTGTGACTGGAACCATGAACAGCTGCAATGTTGCATTTCCCCAAAATGTCAAGCATGGACTGTGGATAGCCAGGTACAAGGCCTTTTGCTTCATTCATGAGGATATATCTGTTGTGCTCCGGATCCATGGAAACAATGGTTGGGCAGCCCAAGATGTGGGATTTAAAAAAACTTCCATACCTGTTATAGTCAATTAATTAGAAACTACTAGAATGTTTAATCATCAGTCATCAAGATAGACATGAAATTCTAGGTAGAATAAATTTACTATAATGAGAGATCCTAGTCATATCGTGTCGTTGGGTGATATGCTGCAAGTGGGTGGATGACAATAACGACATGCTGCAAGTGGGTGCATGACAATGTCTCCAACAAGTTGCCTGAGACATCTCTGAGCGATACACCGGACTTATGATTTACATGATATTAGAACGAGAAGTGTCAGGTTGTATTGGACTCAGCCGATTCTCTAAACCATGATTCAAGGTTCCTTGAGCATCGAAACCCCAAATCATAACACTTGATAATTAATAAGCAGTCATTAAGCTAACAGTACAACAACATAGGCTAGATAGCATTGGGAAACAGAGGTCTTCTAGATCACTGAACGATAAGAAAAGAACATATAAAAGAGACCCTTTTAAAGCAACACTCAGAAGAATCACCTTGTTCTCTGGTTTTTCATGAAGCTTGGGCCTTGTTTTATGAACTTGGTAGTCTCGCCAAAAACAGGCCAGCCCATGGTACCGGGAGGCAAACCTTTCTTCCTGTACCTCAAGTCATTCCATCTCAATAGAGCAGTACTGCAAATACAAAGCCCCAAAACCACCCCAAAAATCACTAGGAACGCAGCCATTGATGCTCCCTAGAAGCTTCAACCACTTCAGATAGAGCTGCAAATAGAATGTCAAGTATGTGTATATATAGGCCTGTTGACTGCCATATGTGACGAGAGAGAAAGGCATAATACGCCAAAACCATGCACCCTATAAGGAGAGGGATCCTACTATTAAACCTCAGATTGTACGATCACACCTGATGGAATCGAATGGTAGCACAGTTGTTACTTTTTAGCAGTCTTGCAAAACTGCTTTACTTGAACCAGCTAGTCAAGATCAAGAGCCTTTCCATCAACATAAGAATCGTACAGTGAAGTAATGATCATAACTAATTAATTAACTACTCATCAAGATTTTAGCCATGAATGTTTATTTGTGTGCAGAGTATTCTATACGTTAATGTATATATGGGTTAGTCTTTTTGATACTGTAGATTCTTTTTTCATCCAATCTTGAAAAGATACTTGAAAATTTCTATTATTTTGTTATTTTAACGATCAATGGTTACAAATAATTCTATTTAAGATCTAGACTATAATCATTTTTCTATATTGTACCATAAAATTTTTTGGTTCCTTAGTGTTATGTACGCGCGCGCGCGCGTGCACATATATATATATATATAGAGAGAGAGAATTTTGATAGTTAACTGGGAGTGGGTACTGATTTTCGTTGGTAGCAAAGTCATAAAGAGACTTTGACCAAAAAATTGGATTGTTTTTCCTGGTCAAACTTTATTGGATGATTTCCCAGATTGCTCATTTCCATAATATCCCAACATACATGCAAGATTTTTTTGGACCCTTATGTGAGAATTATACAAAAGAAATGGCTTTTTTCTTCAGGATAATGACATAAATGCTTAGTTTTCAACTAATCACATCGATTGACTAAAAATGATGATGAGATTTGGAACTTTAAATGCTAAAACCACCGTCCTTAACAGTCCTCAGATGGTGAAAGGCTGCTATCTTCTCTCTAGAATTTTTGGAGAAAAAACTGATTGTTGATACATGCATGCACCCCTGACAATTGCCATCCACTTTTCTGGAAATCCAAAAGTGCTAGCAATTTTAGTAACTTATACCACTAGCTTGTATGCGATTATTTCCACATGGTGTAGGATGAACTGCAATGACTGTACTAGGCTAAGCAGTGGTTAATGGGATTCAAACTTTATTTCCCACCTTTATCATAAAGCCCCTCCATTAATATCATAATTCAGAAACCCATATTTTTAGGGTTTGTTTGGGATACCCATAACTCCAATGACAGCCCCTTCGCATACTGCCTGCTTAATGTCATCTTTAAATTCTCTTTTGGACCGGTATCATCTAAAAATTCCACAGAGCTGAATAATTTGCCCCTCTGACTTGGACATGACTGTGCTGGTAGAACTATGGCAAAACATACCTCAATATTAACGAGGTCTTCAACATGGATTGCCCCCCAATCACAGAGATGTGTACCTTCAATGAATTCAATGAAGGGGAGTGGATGTTATATCATCCAAACAGACCATACATATTGCCTTTGGGATGATAGCATACACAAGTTGTACAAGCTGAGCCATCTACTCAGTAGGTAAGATTATGAAACATAAAGAGACAGGGTTTGTCTTGTAATTTCCAGCTATCTCTTCTGTTCTCAATTTTTTTTTTTTTTTGACTTTTGCTGAAGCTAATGGGTTGTCTTGATATGGCTCAAAAGGTCGATTAGATGGTGACTTAGAGAAGTGTGGATCCATAGGGAGACCCTTAGAAGCGGATTTGGCACAAAAGATGCACTCTTTTTTTGCAATTTAAAGATATGATCAAAACCATTTAACCATCATGTCCATGAAATTAAATGGCAAGTATGCATTTTTCTAGGCAAAATAGTTGATCTACTTCCATAACCCATTTTTCGAAAGAAAATTTGATAGTGGGTATCCTCAATTTTTATGATTGTTAGAAACATAAGAAGTGTGAATATGATTTCTCCTTTTCATAACTATATCTATCTTTATTTGTTAAATTTTGTAGGACTATGATGTTTTGGGGTAGGCCATGAAGATGGGGATCTATGAATGATAGCAGTTCGTTGTATAAATTAGATGCACGGCACTGCCGAGAAAAAGCAAACAGTAGGCTGGGAAAGGTTATGCTTAATAGTAGAGAGAGTGGGAAGGAGTGAGAGAGAGAAGAGGGGGAGGGGTGGCTACCCACATGCACGATGGCCTTAGCTTCATTGAATTTGTGATGTACAATCAAAACTCCAAGAGTTGCACGAGGGCCTCTTTTTTGTTCTCTTGTGCTTTTCTGCCTGTAGTGGTGCCTCTCCCTCACTATTATTTTTGTCCTATTATTGACAGAAAATCTGTCAGTAGACAAGTAGATATTCATAGAGATATGCCAATAAGAATGATTTTCAATCATGAATGTTTTCTTGATAATTCGCAGCAGTACTTGGCCAGAAAAAAAAGCATAAGATTATCTATTTCTGTTTGTATATGAGATTTTGTTCCTTCCTTACTTGGTCTACTCATGGGCACTAGTGTTTTTGTTTGAAATTTAAAGAGTTGCCCTTATACCAAGCAACATTGTCTAACTGGTGAAGACATCAATTTATGAACTACCTCAATCTGGAATCATTGGCCAATGATTTGTGGTGCTGTCTAAAATTATCCTCAAGTAAACAGTGAGATATATGATTGTCTCTTGGATCATATGGAATAGTTACATTGATTTTCCTTTAGGTTTGGGTCTATTTCTTAGACTTATCATCAAATCTGTTTGATAGTTGGGGGAGTTAATTGACTGATTGAATGGCTCAAAAGGTAGCACGCCATTCTTGTGAGAAATTTCTTGTATTAATTAGATCAAATATCATGTTGTACATTGGAGAACAAAATTGGATTAATACTCTCAAACTCCACAATAAGTCGAAAGATTTGTTTTGCTCCCTTCTAATAACAGCATAAAAATCTATAATCTTGGTTGGTTGTTCCCATCTATACCTCTTGACATCTGTTCATTATGTGGTCATCCTAAGCTGAAATTTTACTGAGAAAACACTTATTTACCCTTAACATTGGTAAAAAGTTGAAAAATTAAAGAGAGGGTCACATTGATATTTGATGTATTAGCTTAATGGGAGTTTCTTTACTACCAGGCTGAATGATTATAGCTTTTGCAACTAGAAAAAGTAGTTGATTGTATGTGTTGATCGTAGTTTTTCACTATATTTTCAGAGTCAAATCGACTATTCAGTCTAGTGTACTGGGCTGTCCTTTAAGATTCACAAACCCTTTTAGCCTTGAAAGGCCTATACATCAACTTTGTTACATTTTTTTTTTTTGCACAACCTGATATTCATATAAACTGGTAAGGTACTTTCCTTTACAAACCCAGATCAACCAAACCTCTCTCTCTGCTGCACCATCAAAAATGGAAAATTATCGTTTTCCTGTACAGGTAAACCGGGATTCTTTTTTCATTTCAGGAAACTTTATTGCAGAAAATGGCAGTTGTTGACATAGTGGATTCTCACGCGCCGTCATGCTCGGGCGGTGCAAGCTCCTGATGTAGATCCGGGCTGCAAGGTAATAGTACTTGCTTATTTCTCCTTGAATGGAAACACCACAGTATTGCCATTAATTTTAAACACAACAGATCTGGTGCAAGCTCTTTTTGTTCATTTTAATTTTAAATTACATAATTAAAAAAATAAATTATTATTTAAAATATAAATATTACACAATTAATATTAGATTTTTTAGTTTTGCATAGTGTGGATAATGGGATTATTGCTAGTTATATCTATATGACTTACCACACAAGAGTGTAGGTCATCGCATCCACACAATAGCTTTCCATTTAGAGTATCTGCAGCTTGAAATGCTCCTCCTCCGTCGCTCCTCTACATGGGTAAACAGATTCATATTGTTAAACTCTCTTCCATGTTGATAATATCTTAGATCGTACGGTGACTTAGTCGTGTACTGCCATAATTTACATACAACATATCCTTTATATTCATACTAGTTTTCAGGCACAGCCTGAAGATACAGTGCAATAAAAAATGGTAAACAATAAATATATTTGTATTCATATTTAAAATCAAATCACAAACATAGAGAAGAGATAAATGATTTTAAGTATCGATTTGTAGTGGAGGTGAGAGGTGGTGAGCGGCAATGGTGGTGGTAGGCGACGGTGATAGTTGTGGTGGGTGGCAATGACTATGGTGGCGGCAACAGTGGTGGGGCGATGGTGGCGACAGTGATGGTGGTAGTGATGGTAGTGGTAGTGGTGGTGGTGATGGTGGTGGCGGTGGCGGTGATAATGGTGGTGGCAGCGACAACAGTGGTGGCGGCGACGACGGCGGCGGTGATAGAGGTAGTGGTGGGGCAGTTTTAAACACTATAAGTATTTATAAAAAATAATTTTTAAAAATATTTTTAAAAAATCAATCCAAACACATCTTTAGGGGCCTATTGTTTTTATTAAATTTAGAGTGTTAAAATTAGTCATTAGATTAACTTTAAAGTAAAATTTAAAATGATCTCAATCGCGAATAACAAAAATAATTTTAAGATTTGCATTGTAAACTACTTTATTATATAGATATAGTCAATAGTCAGGTTCATTTTTGTGTCAAATTTATGTCTAATATTTATGGATAGTTGGGTTTATATCGTATAAGTCGAACTCGTGTCAATTCATTTATTAAACGAGGTTATCGATTGACTGCATTATGACCAAAATCCAAGATGAAATTTGTAACTAATAATTATCGAGTTAATAAGTCATTAAGAATTAGTAGTTCCAATCAGCTTGTAATGAGGAATCTCTCAATGACCTATTCAATATGAAATTGGGTGCAAAATAAATTTAATTCATTTATAATCCGCTTAATAAACGGGTTATAATGAGTTAGGTTAAACTTATTAATCCGTAAAATAATTAAAACTTTTAATATAAACATATACGAATATAATAAAAATACACACATTAATACACCAAAATATACACAA